TTGGCCCAGGATCGAACATTGTTTCGTTCTGCTGTGCATGGAGTCGCTATGAGTCGGTTCCGACTCGATGGCACCTGACAACAACAACAACAAATTTGGTTTGAAAGGTTCACTGAAGAAAACAGGATGATTAAAAGCTGAAAAGGGCTAGGCCATGAAGGTCAGAGAGTTCTGGGTTAGGATATAAACTTAACTGGAATCAGATTTTCAAAACTTCTGATGGACCTTCAAAGCATGCATTGAAATATTTCATGTAAAATCTATCAGGAATGATTTGATTCACTGAATATGACAGAATTGTTTATTTGTTTTAGATGTTCCAGTATGAAGGTGAAATTGAGGAAATATCAATAGCAGCAACTCAGGAAGCTGCTCTTGAAAAAATGCTAGATAAGATTATTGATCTATGGAACACTACTCCTTTGCTTTTGGTTCTTCATCACACAGAGGCTTCCTCTGTCCTAATAATCTCTTCTATAGATGACATATTAGCTCAGTTAGAAGAGTCTCAAGTCATACTTGCAACACTTAAAGGATCTTCCTATCTTGGGCCCATTAAGGTAAATATTATAGCAAAGGGGAAATGTTTTTGTACTTTATAAGCTTTTAAATTATATAAATTATTCATACATTTATTTTTAAATGAGACTACTTAGTAGTTTGAATATTAAAAGTATTTTTATAGACAATTAATGAGAAAATATTAGAAAGTTAAATTTGAGTGTACAAAATACATTTAGGTCAATATGACCCAATAAGCCATGTGTTTTACCAGCAGTGTCCTGCTGCCAGAAAGATACCCAATTTTACTACTCTCAATGCCCAAACTGAAATGGGATGTTTTATTTTCATTTACTAGGTTATTCCTCTTAAAAGCTGCACCTGTGTCTCTTTGCACCTGGCTATCTACTCTGGCATAATCCAGAATTAAACCGTAGGGCCAACTTTAGGAGATTCAACAAGAAATGTTGAATGTGTCATATAAATTAGATGGATGTTAGATAGATAGATAGATAGATAGATAGATAGATAGATAGATAGATAGATAGATAGATAGATAGATGATAGATAGATAGACATATTATTTGCAACCACACAAACATATAGGAATAAGTATCAATTTATTGAATCTTACAGAAAATGTTGGACTGTGGTGTGGCGCTGTGGGCTAATGTGTCAGACTGCAAAGTCGTTTGAACTGTGAGGTCAGTGGTTCAAGCTCACCAGCTGGTCCTTGGAAACCCTATACAGGGTCACTATGGGTCAAAACTGACCTGACAGCACTTAACAACAACAACAATGGAAACGTTTCAATAATTTATAAAAAGGCAAAAGTCAAATAGACTGTATTCTATGACCACATGCACTAAAAATTGAACCACAAAAGAACAACAAAATATATAAACAACCTCACAAAAAAATGGAAATTTAAAAATATCCATTGGAATATACAGAAAACATATTTCAAATTTTTGAAAGTTATAAACAACTATAAGAGAATTACATAACAAACAATTGGTCAAACAATTCTGCTTTAACACTATGAGCAGGCATATTTAGAGCATTGAATATTTTTGCTGTTAGGTGCTAGCGAGTCAGTTCCGACTCAGCGACCCTGTGCACAAAAGAATAAAACACTTCCAGGTCCCTTTGAGCCATTGTTGCCATCAAGATATTCTGGGGGGGTCTTCCTCTTTTTCACTGACCCTCCACTTTTCTAAGCATGATGTCCTTCTCCAGGGACTGGTCCCTCCTGATTGTTGTTGCTAAGTTCCAGACTCATAAGAGACTCTGTATAGGGTTTTCAAGGAACAGCTGGTGGATTTGAACAACTTACTTTATAGAATGCAGTCCAGTGCTGATCTTACAGGGCCACACCATAAGTCCTGATTGTTGTTGTTATTTTTAAGTGTTTTTGAGTTGGTTTGACTTATACTGACCCTATATAGGGTTTCCAAGGAGCAACTAGTGAATTTGAACCACCGATTTTGTGGTTCAAACCAATCTTATGGTTTAAACCGACCTTGGGGTCCAGTGCTTATTCTATCTCCAAATTACCATCCTCATTTCTAAGGAGCATTCTGGCTGTGCTATAAGACAGATTTGTTTGTTCTTCAGTCCATGGTACTTTGAATATTCTTCACCAACTCCATAATTCAAATGCATCAATTAGTCTTCTGTCTCCCTTATGCATTGTTTAACTTTCACATGCATATAAATACCTTGGCTTGAGTCACACCTTAGTCCTCAAATGGATATTTTAGCTTTTGAATGCTTTAAAGAGGTTTTTATCAGTAGATTTGCCAAATGCAACATATTGTTTGATTTCTTCACTGTTCCTTCCATGAGTGTTGATAATAGATCCAAGAAGAATGAAGTCTTTGACCATTTCAACCTTTTCTCTGTTCTCATGGTGTTATTTATTGGTCCAGTTTTGAGGATTTTTGTTTTCTTTGCATTGATGTACAATCATATTCCAGGCTGTAGTCTTTGCTATATATCAGTGTTTTAAGTCCTTTTCACTTCCAGCAAGCAAGGTCATATCATCTGCATATCACAGATTGTAAATGAGTCTTTCTGCCATCCTTCATATAATCCAGTTTCTCAAATTATTTGCTTAGCATATAGATTGAATAAATATGGTGAAAGGATAATACTCTGGAGCATACCTTTCCTGATTTAAAGTAATTCAGTATCCCCTTGTTCTGTTCTAATGACTACCTCTTGGTAGTACAGGTTCCTCATAAGCACAGTTATGTGTTCCAAAATGCCCATTCTTCACATAGCTGTCCATAGTTTGTCATGATCCATTCAGTCAAAAGACTTTGCATAGTCAATAAAGCACAAGTAAACATTTTCTTGTACTTTCTACTTTTAGCCAAGATCCATCTGATATTAGCAATAATATCCCTCATTCCCTGTCCTCCTCTAAAGATAGCTTGAATTTCTGGAAGTTTCCAGTCAATGCACTGTCACAACCTCTTCGAAGAACAGTGTCTGTTACTAGGTATATCTTCAGCAAAATTTTACTTGCATGTGAAATTAATGATATTGTTCAATGATTTCTGCATTCCATTGGGTCACCTTTTTGTAATGAGCACAAATATGCATCTCTTCCCATTGGTTGGCCAGGTGTTCCAAATTTCTTGGCATAGGTGAGTGAGCACCTCCAGTGCTGCATCAGTTTATTGAATTATTTCAATTTGCATTCCATCAAATCCTGGAGCCTGGTTTCTCAACAGTGCCTTCGTTGCAGCTTGGATTGTCTTCCCTCAATATCATCCATTATCGATCATATGCTACCACTTGAAATGGTTGGACACTGGCCAGTTCTATTTGGTACAGTGACTTTGTGTATTTCGTCTGTCTTCTTTTGATATTCTCTGCATCATTCAATATTTTGCCCATGTTGTTGTTATGTGCCGTGGAGTCGGTTCTGACTCATAGAGATCCTGTACAGGGTTTCCGAGGCTGTAAATCTTTATGGAGCAGAAAGCCTCATCTTTCTCCCACAGAACAGCTGGTAGTTTCAAACTGCTGACCATGAGATTAGCAGCCCAATTCATAACCACTATGCTACTAAAGCTCCTAGAATCCTTCAATAGTACAAGTTGAGGCTTGAAATTTTTTTCTTCAGTTATTTCAGCTTGAGAAATGCTGGACATGCTCTTCCTTTTTGGTTTTCTAACTCCAGGTCTTTGAATATTTCATTATAATACTTGACCTTGTCTTCTTGAGTTGCCTGCCCTTTGAAATTGTCACCACTACAGATTTTATAGAATTTAAAATGCTAATAAGGGACTATTGTGTAAAACTATAAATAAATAAATTTAACAACATAGGTGAAAAGCAGAAATTTCCCTGAAAGATACAAATTACTAAAGCTTACTCAAGAATGAATAGGTAACTGAAATAGCCCTTTATATTAAAGAGATTGAAATTTGCCAAAGAAAACTCCAGGTTCAGATTGCATATACAAAACATTTAAAGGTAAAGTAATACTGTAGCTGTTATTAGGTGTCTTCAAGTTGATTCTGACTCATAGCAACCCTACGAGCAACAGAACAAAACGCTAATCAGTCCTGTCTGTGCCATCCTCACAATCTTTGCTATTTGAGCCCATTGTTGGAGCCACTGTGTCAGTACATCTTGTTGAACGTCTTCCTCTTCTTCACTAACCCTCTATTTTGCCTAGCATGATATCCTTCTCTAGGGACTGACCCCTCCTAAAAACATTTCCGAAGTACCTAACAAAGTCTCCCCATCCTTCCTTCTGAGAAACATTCTGGTTGTACGTCTTCCAAGACAGATGTGCTATTTTTCTGGTATAGTCAATATTCTTTGCCAAATAAATAAATGCATCCGTTCTTCTTTGTTCATCCTTAATTAGTGTCCAACTTTTGTATACATATGAGATGGCTGAAAATACTATGGCCTAGGCCAGGCATAACTTAGCCCTCAGAGTAACATCTTTGCTTTTTAACACTTTAAAGAGATCTAGTGCACCTAACAACAACAGCAAGTGCAGCAGACTTTCCCAATGCAATAGGTCACTTGGTTTCTTGGCTGCTGTTTCTAAGATCTGAGTAAAATAAAATCCTTGACAACTTCAATCTTTCCTCTATTTACCATGATATTGCTTATTAGTCCAATTGTAGGGATTTTTGTTTTCATTATGCTGAGTTGTAATCCATACTAAAGGTTGTATGTAGTCTTTGATCTTCATCAGTAAATGCAGCAAAGACTCCTTGATGTCACTAAGCAAGTTTGATTTGCATATCACAGGTTGTTAATGAATCTTCCTCCAATCTGGATGCAACATTATATAGTACAGCTTCTTGGATTATTTGCTCAGCATACAGATTAAATATGTTGAAAGGATACAATCCTAACATACACCCTTCCTGATTTTAAACTGTGAAGTAATCACTTATTCCATTCAAATGACTGCATTTTTGTCTTTGTACATTTCCACATGAGCACAACTAAATGTTCTGGAATTCCATAATTTATTATGGCCCCCACAGTCGAGTGCCTTTGTATAGCAAGTAAAGCACAAGTAAACATCCTTCTGGTAGTCTCTACTTTCAGCTAACGTCCATCTGACATCAGCAGTGATGTTCCATTCCTCATCCCTCTTCTGAGCCCGGGTGCATGTTTGATCAATTTCAGATTGCAAAAGTTGATAAAAATCTCCAATTTCTTCATATTTAGCACCAATAGTTGGTGTATACATTTGAATAATAGTTATATTAACTACTTTTCCTTGTAGGCATATGAATTATCCTATTGCTAATAATATTGTCCTTCAGGATAGATCTTGAGATGTTTTTGTTGTTATTTTTATGATGAATGTGACAACATTTCTCTTCGAATTGTCATTCCTGACACATGGTTGTCTGATTTGAAATGTCCAATATCAGTCCATTGCAGCTCACCAATGCCTACGATATACATCTTTATGTGTTCCATTTCATTTTTGATGACGTCCAATTTTCCTAAGAGTCATTCTTTGTACATTCCACATTCCTATTATTAATGGATGTTGCAAACTGTTTCTTCTCATGTTGAGACATGCCCCATAAGTAAGTGAAGATTCTGAAAAGTTTACTTCATCCATGTCATTATATATTAATCTAGTTTGAGCTGGCAGCTCTTCTTCAGTAGTGTTTTAAATGCCTTCCAAATTTGGGGGCTCATTTTCTAGCATTATATCAGACAAATAACTCTTATTGGCCAATTCGTTTTAGAAATATATCGTCAGGTCCAACTTCCTAGTTTACCTTAGTCTGGAAGCTCCACTGAAACCTATTCACTATGGGTGATCCTGCTGGTATTTGGCATAGCTTCCTCCATCACAGCAGAATGCAAGCCACCAAAGTAAGACAAACTAACAGACAAGTGGTGGAAAATCATACTAAATACATAAATTCTTCCAGAAAACTATAGAGGAAGGAATACTTCCCAACTCGGTTCTATGAAATAACATTACCCTAACACCAAACCCAGAAAAAGGCTTCACAAGAACGAAAAACTAAGACCAATGTTCCTTGATGAATTTGAGTATAAATGCCAAAAAAGCCTCAAAAAATAATAGCAAACAGTCTACTTGCATAAACAAAATATTATACACTATTATACATTATCAGGGAAGCAGGGTGACTCCATACATAAGACCTGGACTGCGAACTACAAGGTCCACAGTTCGAGCCTTCCAATTGCTCTACAGGATAAAGATGAGGCTTTCTACTCCTTGATGTAGAGCCTCGGCAACCCTATATAGGGTCTCTATGAGTTGGAACCAACTCACTGGCACTTAACAATAACAACAATATATTATCAAGAGGATTTATCCTGAGAATGTAAACACACAAAATTGCATTCTATTAATACACTGTATTAATAGAATAAAGGAAGGCAGGAACACATAATCATCTTACTAGACACATAAAAAGCATTAGTTAAAATTCAACAACTTTTCATCGTAAAAACACAACAAACTAGAAGTACAAGGTAAGTCAAAAGTTTCACGACTAGAATTCTAGTTTGTACAAGTAGGGGTTTAGTCCATACAAAATTTGTTTAAGCATGTCTTTATGATCAGTGGATGGCTGCAAACAAGTTCTCTCAATAATACACTTGGCTTAGCCTCCTAAAGGGAAAAACAATACATATACTTACCATGGAATTGGTTCCGATTCATAGCAACCCTGGATAGGGTTTCTGAGGGGCAGCTGGTGTGTTAGAACTACTGACCTTTTGGTTCACAGTTCAGTGCTAAGCCTACAAATCTGTGTTGGAAGAAGTATAGCCAGAATGCTCCTTACAAGCCAGGATGGTGAGATTTTTTTCTCTCATACTTCCCCTTTGTGAACTCAGAGGGACCCCCCACCCCCCAAGGAAATGGATTAGCACAGTGGCAGCAGCAGTGGGCTCAAGAGTGACAACAACTGTGAGGATGACACAGAACCAGGTAGTGTTGTGATAAGAACCTATCAACAGATAGGTTCACTATGAGTCGGAACCTAACAATAGATTACAATTCAGGATTAGAAATGCTCAGGGTACAGTTCTTTCAGTTAGGATACCCTCTTCCCAGCCACGCCCATAGGTAGGCCTCTATTCCTTGACTTCTCAGCTATGTGCCCCTTAACTCTGCTCTGCTCTAGCAATATTACAAAACTCTTAGTGCTGTTGATAAATACCGTAAGGACATTCTACTCCACTATAAGCTTCAGCCTGAAGGTGCTCAGCTCTAGCTCTGTGGGTCAACAGACTTAGCTCCCCAATTAAATACCTTTAGGTACCCCACTCCATAAGTAAGCCTCCTGCCCAAAATGACAAGCTCCATGGACTGGGAAGCCCACCACTCTGGTGCTCTAACTTTTGGTTGTGCTGCTGCTGCTCCTTTGTCATTGCTCTGCTACTCCTCTAGTGTCACGGCTTTATGTCCCTCAGTCAAGGAAATTCAATGTGCAGGGACTGGGATCTAATCGATGAGTTCCACATCTGGCTCTTCTTACTTGATAGTAGTGAGAGCCCCTTCCAATTTCTAAAATGGCTCATTAAGAGTTCTAAGTCTTTACAATCACAATTAGCTGGTAACAATCATTCACAACTGAATCATATACTCCATCAGCATCCTCTTCCCCGACCTTCTCTTAACTAGGACCATCAAGGAAAGAGATGTTTGGCGGGCATTTACAAAGACCATGGCAAGAAGATACATTGAGCCACACATACCATACTCTGGAAGAAAGTTAGATGAATGGAACATTTTGATTTATGTGACCCTCTGTCTACTCTACTAATTTCTGTTTGCCAATGACTGCTAATCACCTTTTATGTCAATTCCTTTTGTGTGACTCTTATAAATTAATATATTTAAAGCTTGTATATGTGTATTTATCATCATAGAATCTCGTGGTTGAATGGGATCAAAACTTGACTCTCTTCTCTTATACTCTGGAGGAATGGATGAATTGTCAAAGAACTTGGCTTTATCTTGAACCAATTTTTCTTTCTTTAGAAATACAAAGGTAAAAAGAAACTTCATATTTTTCAGATACTGGTAAAAATGCAGTGCATCATTTATTTTCTATAATCCTTGAAAATTATTTCTTCAATTTCTAAAACCATAGGCATAGACAAATCACTTACTGCTTATTTTATAATACGTAGAACTTGTATGCGACTATCTTATACCTCATATGAAATTAATAATATTGTGTAAGACCTTTTTATAGTGTGCCATTCTATGGCACCTGGTATAAGATGCTGGGTGTATGTCTAATATATCCTAATGTTTTCTACTATGTATAACACTTGTATATAACTGGCACTAAAAATATCCTGGCAAAAATATAACACCCAAACATGTTATCAATTATATATGAATACAAATAAAAGACTGTTAAATATGGAAATTCTGTGACAAATGCATTTAGCATATAAATTTTAATTAATAGTGTCTCTCCCCTCCCCCATAAAATAAACTTACCTTTCATTTTATTACTAAAGGCAGCTTCCAGCAGAAGCAAAACTTTTCTCTAAAGTGATTTCCATATGGAAAGATGTAATGTCAAAAATACAAAACAAACTGAATGCTTTGCAAATAACTACCTCTGCAGGAGTCCTAGAAATTATGAAAAATTGTAATATATATCTTGAAAATATAAAGAAAAGTCTTGAGGTAAAATTATAGCAATCCTAAACTGGAGAATTATTTCATTCCATAAAATGTAATGTAACTAACTGCAGAAACTAATTGTAGCACCGTTTTTCTTTTATTGTAGCTAGTAACACAAGGAGCTCTGGCAGTGTAGTGGTTACTAACACTATTTCAAATTTTCATCATCTATAGTGCAAATGAAAATATTTTCAAAGGGAAAAAACAACAACAACAACACTAAATGGAACAATCTAAATTCTTCTACACAAAGTAGCTTAAGAAGTTTTCCTTATGCTTAAATTGAAATTAATGATAGTGCCTACCGTGGGCTTTGGGTTAAATGGGAAAATGTATTAAAAGAATGGGCTATTAGTATTTTTATCAACACGATTATGATTATTAAGGAGCTCTGGTAGTGTAGTGGTTACAAATCAGGCTACTAACCTCAAGGTCAGCAGTTCGGAACCACCAGCTGTTCTGTGAAAGAAAGATAAGGCTTTCTGCTCCTGTAAAGATTTCCAGTCTCAGAAACCCTATGTAGGGTCACTATGAGTCAGAACTGACTCCACGGCACACAGTCACCCTGTGATTATTAAGGATCCCTGGTAGTATAGTAGATTATGAGTAGGTTGGCAAATCACAAGATCAGCAGTTTGAATCTGCCAGGCACTCCGTGGGATAAAGATGATGCTTTCTGTTCCCTTAAAGATTTATAACCTCATAAACCCTATACAGGGTAGCTATGAGTTGTGATCTAGAATATGGGCAGTCCTGGAGAACGACTCATATGCAATGGAGAAAAATGTATATCGTTCAGTTGTTAGATCACAATCCCACAACATGCAACCACCACCATTATTATCATCATACTGATAAATTCGGAAAAAGTTGAAATGTAATATTTGGATGATATCATAAATCTAGTTACATGTATTTATTCATTGAGAAAGCATTAAATCATCAGCTGGTCATACATATCCTTGACACTAGCTTTTACTGTTCAAGATTTGTGATACACATTTTCACTTTAGCGATGAATGTCTGGGGAAAAAAATCAGTTGTTTTTTGTTTTTGTTTATTTCAAGAATTCATGTTTTGTTGTTGTTGAGCACAAGTTACAATGACTGTGATGATCCTTCCATAATATTTGTCTAGGACTGCTACAGCCTGTAGAAAGTTCTTTTCTCAGGCAAGCCCCTTTCATTATAAACCATGCTCTGGGTCAGTCATAAGGGGTTGCCCAATGTGAATATTGTTCATAACAGTTAACGGGGAATGGCATTAGAACAGGACTTCCAATTTTTTCTAGCATATCTGTGAACTATTAATAAGGATCATCACAAACCAGTTATTCATGAACAAACTAGTTATTCCATTTGTTCAGGAATAGAGCATCTATTGCATACCGGGCGCTACTGCTGTGTACTAGAACTAGAAAGATAAAAGACAGATAATTCTCTACTGCTATAGAACTGAAAATCTATTGTTGTTGTTGTTGTTAGTGCCATCGAGTCAGTTCCTGACCCTTAGCAACGCTGTATAGGGCTTCCAAGGAGTAGCTGGTGAGCTTGAACTGCTGACATTACAGTTCAAACAGCTTTTCAGTCTGGCGCATTAACCCACAGTGCCACACCAGGACTCCGAAAATCTATTAGAGGAAACAAAAAAGTAAAGAGGCATCACACTGTGATAGTTAGTATTGTATGATGAATGGACTAATTAGATCTAACATATCTGTAACGCTTCATCCAACAGCTGAACAATATACATTTTTCTCCATTGCATATAAGTTGTTCTCCAGGACTCGCCATATTCTAGATCACAAAGCAAGTCTCAAAAAATTTAAAAAGATTAAGTATCTTCTCTGACTGCAAGGAAATAATACTAGAAATTAATACCAGAAGGAAAAATGACACCATCTAATTATAGCTTTCATTGAGCATAGGATATTATTTTGACTAAAACTACTGTATATACTATGACTTTAAGACTTTGATTCTTATGTATAAGTGAGAGTGTGAGTCGTATCATAAATATATATTCTGAATGGTATCTTTTTATTGGTTCTGAACAGGACTACCTTGAAATTAAAAGAATGATTTTTCCAAGATTTTACTTTCTTAGCAATGCTGAACTTCTAGACATTCTAGCTTCCAGTAAAAATCCTGAGTCTGTACAGGTAATGCCATAGTAACCCTGATCAACAATGTTCTTTCCTGACCAGTCAGGATTTTATAGTATTGCTTACATTTGTTTCTGATCCACAGCCTCATCTTGTGAAATGTTTTGAAAATGTAAGGCATTTAATGATATACCAACAAGAAATTGGCCCTCCTGCTGTGATTATGCTGGTGTCTGCTGAAGGAGAAAGTCTCGTGCTGCCAAAGTAGGATACCCATGTCCCAAACTAAGCATTTAGACTCTGTAAAGCTGTGTTTGTTATTTGAGTCCTGGTGTTGCACTGTGGGTGAATGAGCCAGATTGCAAAGTCATTTGAACTGTAAATTTAGTGGTTCAAATTCACCAGCTGCTCCTTAGAAACCCCATGAAGGGTTTCTATGAGTAGAAACAACAAGAACATTGGAAATATCTTGATATTTCAAAGAAGTTTGCTAAGCAAACCATTTCTTCAAAGATAATGCCCTTATGCCGATACACTCTTAACCTTTCCATACTCAAAACAATAAATACTTATCTCACCTTGGCTTTACTTAAAAGTAAAGAAAGAACTCTTCAAACTCTTGGTCCTTTCTAATTTGAAGTCATAATTTCCTTAAGCTGGATAATATATTTCCCTGCATCAGTTTTCAAATTAAGATCTAGAAAAGTCAAACAATAGTATAGAATTATAGCCCTTTGGCCTATAAATATTATTAAAATGTACAGAAAACTTAGTATTCAGGCACATCAAATTAATGAAACATGAATGAAACTAACATTGCTTTTTTTTTTAATTATAGGAAAATTCGAGTAAGAAATGCTGTAGAACAGTGGCTAGTAAATGTAGAGAAAAGCATGTTTGATTTGTTAAAAAAGTAAGTACAATTTAAGATCTTAAAATTATACTATATCTCTAATTTCTTACTTGGTTAATTATCTAAGTGAGAAATATGAGTTATCTGGAAGTGTCAGAGGAATGAAGTCCTTTATGAAATGGATTTTGATGCAACATGATGGCTCATGACTAAACGGAATACAAGCTTCTTTATAATACAGATTTCAATGTGACAATATGATCATGAACAAAAGACCATTTTGGTGTACTTTGATATTCATATGTATGTGAAAACTGGCCAGGGCCTGGACTGATGTCCACTTCTGCCTGCTTTCTAAAGATCTGGAGATTAGTAGCAGTCCTGATGTGGCATTGTAGGATAAGCACTGAACTGCTAATGCCAAAGTCGGCAGTACAAGCCAATCAGCCTCTCCTCAGAACTGCTATGCCGTGTCTCTATGAGTCAGAAACAATTTGATGGCACTTAGGGAGAGTTCAGGAGGCCCCTAGTTTCAGTCCATCCCACTCTACATTTCCATTCCGCTTGTGCTTCCTGAGATTGATTATTTGGTTAGTCTTTTTAATGTTAGTCTATCGTTGCTGTTTAGAACAAAGAAAGATGCTCAGAGTATGAGTTTTTTTGTTTTGTTTTATTAACAAAAAATTTTTTTTAATTATTTTTACAAAATAATTTGCTTAAAGCAGTCTTAGTACATTTGTAATTACTGTTAGTTATAGAAAATTTATTGATCTTCATTAAGTTTTAATACCTATATTTAATACCATAGTAATAATATCTTGAATACCAGAAAAGAGCATATTATTATTTAGTTACAAAATAACTATGCAGTCTCTCCTTTGCCCCAATTATTATTCCTGAGGTGATGTGATGAAAGTCTTCCTACATGGAAGAAGCACTTCTATAAGCATAGAATTTTAAAAACAAAAATCTGTGCATTTATATCATAGAGACAAGCAGTTTTTCAATTGTTTTCCTGAGATGTTTGTGGTTAGGTAATTTTGTCATTTGTTAACCTTGATAGTCCTGTCTCTTTCTTTACAATTCTACTTAAATTGTCCTTTTCATGTTATTTTGGATGACAACTTTTGTACAGTGTTGACGTATAGCAATGACAACAAAAATTCTTCTTCTGTTCCTGATTTTCTTGGGAAAACTTCTAATGTTTCACTATTTATTTATTGGAATGTACCAGAGCCTAAGCATCATATGATCTTTTCAAAATAAAGATGATTTATTCTATTCCTAGTTGCAAAGAGTTTTTATAATTAAAGAACGTTCAATTGCCTCAAATGGTTTTTATAATTCTATGGAGAAAGTCAAATACCCTTTTACCTTTAATTTATGGATGCCATTTAAAAAATTAAGGAACTCTGGTGGCTGTTTACAAGTCAGGCTACTAACTTCAAGGTCAGCAGTTCGAAGCTAACAGCCATTCCACAAGAGAAAGATGAGGCTTTCTGCACCTGTCAAGATTTATAGCCTTGGAAACCCTATGTAGTATCGCTATGAGTCAGAACTGACTCCACAGCACATAACCACCACCACCACCACCATTAAAAAATTTGCTGTCATTGAACACTCCTCAATTTTTAAATTTATACCCATATTTTTTGTGTGTTCACTTACTTTATTTCTTAGAAAACTGTATTAGACTGAATTTGCTATTTTTGTGTTTGAAAAATTCACTTTTTTATTTCTAACATCACATATTTTCATCCTATGTTGTTTTCCATAAATCTTTTTAGTAGATTATATCTTTAACTGACATGTCAATATTTGTGCCAATCATAGTTATGTACTTAAATGCTGTTTTAGCTTATATTAATAATGTATTACATTTGTTCCTATGATGGCAAACATTTATATCACTGTGCTATTTTCAACATTCCTGTGTCATGCTAATTTTTTCTACATTATACTATGAGAACTTAAAACCAGAGACAATATATATAAATAGAGCAATCTGAAAGCAGAGCCTTAACTCCATTATAATGTGTTGACATGAATCTAAAACCCATGTTGAATTTTATAAGTTGCCTTATAGCCCTTCCTCTGACCTTGATGCTGACCTATCCTTTCACAGTACAGGAGACACCCTTTAGCTCTGAGGTCTGGCAGGTGCAGGATATCAAAATTACTCCCAGATGATCTTTTCTCTCTGGCCCAACAGAGGCAAAATGTGACAGCTTCTGCCCAAAGGGACTTGATGCCCAGCATTATGATAAATCTTTACAGTGGACCCACAGAAACAGACACGATTAGGCAAGCAATTTTTAAAGCATGTTACCAGAATGTAGGAGTGATTTTATAAATGTATAAAGATCAGAATATAATAATTCAGGATTGGTGGACATGATACAGCAGGATTTTTGGATGAGAGATTCTCAGAGTTTTAAAGTTAATCTGATGCTTTCAATCTGAGAATTGGAGAGTGCTTTATAAATTTCTTGGACTAGACAGTAGTTATTTGTAACTTTTATCTTTCTGAGATCTAATCTCCAGGAAGAGAAAATTTATGGTGATGAAGACAATAAAATAATAAAGTCATGTTTATATAGACAGCATAGCATTATGAATGGTTCTGTTCTCAATTTTCTCTCAAATCTTTTAAACTATTGTTTTATGACCATCTCTCAAACAGTATTGCTGAAGAGGCCTTATGTTTATCTGACCCTTTCTTTTTGCTTCTTTAAAAAAAAAAAAAAAAGAAGAACACTATCATTTTACTGGTTCTCTTTGTAACTCAGGAATATCACTTAGATCTGTCTCTTTTTAAAAATTGCTTTTGCATTTGAATTGTACCATTTAATCTGAAGTGTTATCTCTCTCTTCAACCCAGAATAATTATTTTCTGTTATCTTTTGCTTTATTTTCTCATCATTATTTTTAATTTTAAAGTTATTTTTTCTCCCTTTTAAAATTCCCGTTCTACAAATACTCAGAATTCTAAGCCCATCCTCCAAGTGTCTTAACTTCATATTAGTTCACCTTTGTACAAAGAACTTTGGGAAAAATAATCATCTTTCTTTTTACACATGACCATTGTTCAATCAGACCAAAATTCAGTTTTCAAAAAGTATTTCTTTTTCCTAGTAGCCTTTAAAAAAAAAAAAAAAAAAAAATTTAGTACAATACTTACAATTAAATGCTAAGTGAGTTTAAGATTGATTGATGTTTAAAAAATGTTTAAAATTTTTAAATGTCATTTTAAAAATTAAGTCATATAAATATTGTCATTGTTGTTGTAAAATGCTATCTAGTAGATTCCAACTCATAATAACCCTGAATAGGGTTTCTGAGGAGTGGCTGGTGAGTTTGAACCATCAACCTTGGGGTTCAAACCAGCCTTGCAGTCCAGTGCTTATCCTACAACAAGAAAATAAAGGATCTTTGTGTTGAGAATTTATAAATAATGATAATAATGATGGAGAAACTAAAAAAAATATATTAATTTGACTATTTGTTGTTGTTAAGTACCATCGAGTTGGTTTCAATCCATAGAGACCCTGTTTAGGATTTCTGAGGAGCAGCTGGTGAGCTTGACCCACCAACCTTGTCGTTCAAACTAACTTTGCAGTCCAGCACATTAACCCATAGCACCACACCAGGACTCTAACTTGACTATATGCATACAGAATTTTAAAACATCTGTATAAAGAAAGCATAATAATATCAAACCATACTGTTGGCTTATATTAATTTTTGTCTGAAAATATCTAGATAGTTTTCATGTGTCATATATTCTCCATTATAAATAATTTTTAAAGCTAAATGCTGGACTTCACTGTTAAAATTCATCTGGTGATTTCAGGTTAGTATTCCAACTTGTGCAAATTATTTTAAATACTAATTTTTTTCATCATTATTATTAGCAATTCAAAACAAACATGTATCATCTTCTAAATTAACGCAAGGGCATTGAATGATAAGCACTAGACTGCTAACCACAAGGTTAGAGATTCAAACACACCAGCTGTTCCTTGGAAACCCTATATAGGGTCACTATAAGTCAGAACTAAGGTCAAGCACTTAACAACAACTTAATATACTAGTAGTTTACCATCTTAGAAACTCAATGACATGATTGGAAAATGAAGATTATATTAAAGGGTAATTTAAGGACTATGTATTAAGTATGAATTAAGGCTCTTTTCAGGAGACCTAGTGTTACAGGTCGCTATGAGTCTGTACCGACTTGATGGCACCTAACAACAACAAAACAGTGTTACAGGGTCGCTGTGAGTCGGAACCGACTCCACGGCAAATAACCAACCAACTAGTGTTACAATGGAGTCCTGGTGTGGTTCTGTAGATAAGGACTGGAGCACAAGGTTGGCAGTTCAAACTCATAGCCAACTCATTGGCACTTAACAACAACAACAGTGGCACAATAGTTAAGTCTTCACCTGCTAACTGAAAGGTTGACTTTTTAAACTCACCCCACAGTTTCTCAGAGGAAGGCCTAGTGATTTTTGTCCCCATAATGATTACAGCCTAGGAAACACTACAGGGCAGTTCAGTTCTATCACATGTGGTCACTATGAGTTGAACTCTACGCAAGGGCAGCAAACAATGACAATTAGTCTCTTTAACCCTACTTGGTCCCAATGTTGTTGTTAAGTGCCGTAGAGTCAGTTATGACTCACAGTGACGCTGCATAGGGTCTCAAGGAATGACTGGTGGGTTTGAGCTACCTACCTTTCAGCTAGCAGTCCAGTGCTTATCCTACAGCACCACAACATTGCATTTGGTCCCCTACATATACCTAAATTTGAACAAAAGTGAGCGGTATTAAAAGAAAATTTCCCCTGTGATCTTGACATGCTTGATCATAAATTAAATGACCATAATCAATGATGTAAGTATAAATAATATAATAAAACTTTTTGTTTGTAGACTTGTAAGTCATGGAGTTGAAGACTGGAACTGTCAAAATTTTTCCATATGGGTGGTATCTCATCCAGGACAAGTGGTACTCACTGTGGTAAGTTAATCTGTAATGAATTTGTGCCTATATTACCA